GCTGAGCAATAAAAAAAGTAAGACCCTATGGAAAACCTTAAAAGCACACAACATCGTGCATACTAAGTCAAACACGATACCAATACATTTAAAAAACGCTAATGCAAGAAATGACTTTTTTATTAATTCATTCACTGTAAAAGAACCTCCTGAACGGTTATTATTGTGGTATAGAAATCAAAAATTAGTAAACTCAGAATTTAAATTTCAGGAAGTAAATGACTTATTTGTTTTTCAGGCAATTAATAATATAACCACAAATGCTGCTGGTGAAGATAGGCTCAATCTAAGACTTTTGAAATTATGTTGCCCATATATAGTTCCTTACATAACTCATATCATTAATTTTTGTTTAAATAATAGCATTTTTCCTGAAACATGGAAAAGAGCTATTGTAAAAGTCTTACCTAAAAAATCTAATCCCCTTGAGTTAAAGGACTTGCGTCCGATCAGTATTTTGCCTACTTTATCTAAAGTACTCGAAAGAGCTATAGAAAATCAACTAAAGCAACATTTAGATAACTATTCTTTGCTTCCCGTAACTGGCTGGATTTAGGAAAAATTATAGTTGTACGACAGCTCTTCTCCATATCGTTGATGACATTGTAAGGGCTATGGACCAAGGAAAATGTAGTATTTTGGTGCTACTTGACTTTACCAGAGCATTTGATACAATTAATTATGATTTGATGTTAGAAATTTTAAGCTATTTAGGACTTAAAAAAACCGCCGTAGATCTTTTAGAATCGTACCTTTCTGGTCGAAAACAAATGGTAGTTGTTGATGAACAATCCTCTCATTATATGAATTTAAAATGTGGAGTACCTCAGGGTTCTATTCTGGGACCTCTTTTGTTTACGCTATATACCTCAAATCTTGTTAAAAGCCTCCAGTCTTGTAATGTACACTTTTATGCGGATGATACCCAAATATATTATAGTTTTTCCCCTGACATGACAGTCGAAGCTTGCAATAAAATAAACAAAGATCTATATAATTTTATTAACAATGCTGAGGATCATTGTTTGAATAATAATTGTTTAAAATCTAACATCTTACTTTTTGGTACTAAAAGCAAATTGAATGAAATTGATAATAATAATAGTGTACATATTGTTATAAAAAACGAAAATTTACAAAAAGTAAGTGAGGCTAAAAGCTTGGGAGTATTATTGGAATCAAAAATTTGAAAAACACATTAATCATCTTTTAAAAAATGCATACGCTACACTTAAAGCTTTATATGGACATAGGCAGTCTCTACCTACACATATTAAATCAATGCTATGTAAGTCGCTTATTCTTTCTACATTTAATTTCGGTGATACTCTTTCGGCCCCTTTTTATCTAGTCTGTATCAACAAAAAATTCAAAAAGTCCAAAACTCTTGTTTACGCTTTATATATGTAATTCGCAGAAGAGAACATATTTCACACAAACTAAATGAAAATAAATGGTTGAATATGGCTAGTAGAAGACTCTTACATGCGTCAGTTCTTTTTCATAAAATACTAATTTATAAAGCTCCCTCTTATTTGCATAAAAAAATAACTTTTAGGACAGATGTGCATAATATTAATATTAGACATAAAGGTACACTTTCACCTCCACCTTTTAGACTTGAAATCTTTAGACGCTGTTATACCTATCAGATATGTTTACTGTACAATGATGTACCAGATCTTTTAAAAACTTACAGTGTGCCAAGGTTTAAGGTTGCCTATAAAAATTTACTTTTTTCGAAACAAGCATAGTTACGGAGATAGGGTTTAAATGAAAAATAGTAGTTGTATTATTATAGAGAATATGCGATACTTTTAAGGTTAAGTGGAAGAACAAGTTTTAGCGAGGGTTTCACCCAACCTAAAAATTGAACTTCGCCTTTTGTTTTGTTAATTAATCTATTTTTTACTGTATCAAAATTAATTATGAAAACAATAAAGTCGTTTATTATTATTATTATTATAAACCACTAATATCAATTAAAAAAAAAAACTAGATGATGTAAGTGCTCGTTTTCAACGAATGCTTTTAAAATTATTGAAATACAAAATTAAAATTGAATACTTACCAGGTTCAAAGATTTATGTAGCAGACACACTTAGTAGATCATTTATAAAAACTGACAGCCCAATAGATCAAGAGCTTGAATATACTATTCATGCTCTATCACTAGCAGTGCCAATGTCAAATGAAAAAAAAAAAAAATATTTTTCAAAATGCGATTAATAAAGACCCCATTGTGTCTCAAATTAAAACATTTTGCACAACCAGTTGGCCTACAAATATAAGAAATATGGACTCACATTTAAAATATTATTATAACTTAAAAGATAATATACATATGACTGATAATTTATTATTTTTAAATACAAAAATCATTGTCCCTTCAGAATTAAAACAAGACATGTTGAAACTTATACATTCAGCACATTTTGGGATACAAAAATGTAAACTACGTACACGTCAAATAATGTTTTGAAAAAACATGTCTAAAGACGTTGAGAGTGTTGTTTATAACTGTAAAATTTGTCAACTAAACAAACCTGCCAATCAAAAAGAAAAACTTATACCTCACAAAATTCCTGATAGACAATGGCAATATTTATTTTCAGACTTTTTTGAATATAATCATAAAAATTAACCTTATTATTGTTGATTCATACATTGGCTGGAAATCTTCCCTGTGAAAGATAAAACTGCTTAAATTGTAATGTAGTACTCTAAAGATATTTTTTCAAAATTTGGAGTCCCTGATATCTTTTATGCTGATAATAACCCTTATAATAGTACTTGTTTAACAGATTTTGCAAAACTTTGGAATTTTGAATTAGAGTTCTCAAGTCCCTATTATCACTAATCCAATGGTTTGGCTGAGAAGTATGTAAATAATATCAAAAAATATGCTAAAGAAAATGAACAATCCTGATGATTTACCCCATTTTTTGTTAGAATATAGAAATACACCATTGCCCAGCATTGGTTATGCTCCCTCTCAACTTCTGTTAAATCGGCTTGTAAAAACAAAAATCCTTGTGAAAATCTATTGCCAAAAATCATTGATCAAGAAACTGTCACCTCTCAGATGTTAAAAAATGTCAATAAAGTAAAAGAAAATTATGATAAAAATGCAAAAAATTTTCCTGTTTTAGAAAAAGGCGAAGGTGTTCTTTTTCAAAAAAATAATTGTTGGAACAAGGGAGAAATATTAGATAAATATAATGATCGATCGTACTTGATCAAGGATATACATGGCAATACATTTAGACGAAATCGAAAACATTAATGAATCATTTACCTAGTTTAATTATAAAACAGATTTTCATACAGATACTAACAGTTCAGAAGTAATATCAAATGAAGCTATAAATAATGAAATAAGTGAGGAATTCAGTAATGAAAACACCATAATTGAAAATAATGTTGAAGAATTCGGTAATGAAATCACCATAAATGAAAATAATGTATTGAATCCAGATTTAGAAAACACAAACTGTAACATTAGTTTTAAATCTAGTACTGAGAATAGCGATGTTGAAGATAATATATCTGAGAATTCATATCATTCTGCTGACGACTCAGACTTTCCTGAGAGCGGAATACCTACAAATACTAAAAAGACCGGTTCTCGTACTGTTAAATATCTTAGTTACTTAAGTGATTATGTTAGGTCTTTTCCTTTGCATCGAAAGTGTAGAACCGAGCTACACCATTTCTAAAAATATCGTTCCATTTATACAAATTATATGGATGGAACAATATTTTCAGAAGTAACGTAGCTTAGTGCTACACTTTCGATGCAAAGGAAAAGACCTATTGTATCTTAAAATTAAAAAGAGAGCGTGTTGTATAACTTGTTTAAGTTGGTAGTTTTAATCTTCAGTTAGTGATTTTTTGTTAAGTTGGTAGTTCGGCAGTCAAAATGTCTGAAGAACGTGCCAGCTCAGAAGCTTGATTATAAGAAACTATAAAATAAATGGATACAAATAATTCACCATAGTTTTAATACTACATATAAAAACAAACCAAAACATATAATTCCTTCTTTTATCCCTGGCAAACATACTGCCGACCTATTTATTATCTTTTATGGACGAAACATTTTTTTTTAGGATATCGAATTGCATACTATACCCTGTATTTCTTTTTAAACTATCAAGACTTACTTAAATACAAAACTTTATCTGTCTACGTCTACATTAACCCATGCCGACAGGGCTCTGAAGATTGTGAAAATTGCTGTTTTTAACTCATTTAAATCAATTGAAATATATATTTTATAAAAATTATAATCGAAAGGATTAGGTACTTATTTATTAAAAGAAGATAAAATTACAGATCAGGCAGGATAATTTCTTTTGAGGGTCTCTTTTTTACAGTCTGGATACAGATTTCTATGCTCTTGCACACAGCGTAGCAAAAATTGCTTTTGTTCTTCCTTTGCAGTGATCAAACTATGAAAATTTGGTATAAATTTTACAGCCCTTTCAGCTGTATCATTAACTGCCCTCAAGGAAAGAACTTTTCTTTTTGCCTCTAAATAAGTAACATCTTCGTCCCACGTAAAAACGGGCCTTTGGAAGAAGTTCTCATCATTTTTTAATCGAGAAAATAAATTTTTACTCTTGACAGACACAAAATCACTTAATGTTTATTGAAAACATTATAATAAATAAATGTATTCCTACTTACCATACAAATAATAATATCTTCTTTCGATGGAATGTACCTCTTTACAGAATCATAAAAACTGTCTTCAATACAATATTTCCCTTGGGTTGTTCATTAACTTCATCATGAAAGAGAACGGAAATTTCTTCTGACAAGTACCAAAGATGTTGACTAAACTTGCTCAGGGCTGCTTTGGAGATCAACTTGTCAACAGTTTCATATTTCTTAAGCCTCTTTAAAAAGCACAAATCTTGATTTGATGCCTTTACCGCCAGGTTACATTGAAGCCGCGGTTTCACATATATAACCGCAACGAATAAACAATCGTCTTAAAGTGCTTGTTTACCCTGGGGGCTAATTTTGAACTGAGATTGCAACAAACATATTTTTAAAGAGTAAATAGTTCTAGCCATCCTCCTAGCTTGATGCATCGCTCCAGGAGGTCTGATTTTAATTTTTTTCTCCTTATCTCCTCCTAAGAAAAGAATTGATAGTTCAATCAGTTCCCGATAATCATCACGTACAATGTTTTATTGCAATTCTTGATTATAAAATGTCAATAATTCTTGTATTGTTGTATAACAAAAATTTGGGTGACGATATCGGTGTAGGTTTCAATACCAGTAGGATTAATAGTTTTTAAACATTGTGATATCAGGGCTACTTGTGATTTGGTGGATTTTTGTGGGGCATGTATCCGGATTGAATATTCGTTCTGAAAATGATACCCGAAAACAATTTGTTTGTTGCTACTCGTATGGACATACGTTCACATTGCATTCGCTCAAATCGACCAATTCCTTTGATGTTACCGCAACGATTCGACTTGTCGGCAAACGTCGGCGAACCTTCGTTGATATTCGCTTAACGGTTTATGCCGTTGTTAACTTTCTCAATTTTGACGGATGTTCCAACGCAACTACGCATGCGGAATTCTTGAAGCCAAAGTAGAAATGGTATGCCACTCTGCCTAGACCCTTGTTGCTTCAACAAAGCCCTTTCATAGGCATTCTTTGGCGCGTTCTGGACGCAGCTTAATGTGTTTATTCTTATACATTTTCTAACGCTGCTTTATGCAGTATTTTTCAAAAATACATTTTATTGTTGCGCATAGAGCTAACCATGTGTCTGTTTATAAAATTTACTCGTATATTAGTCAATTTTGATATTTTTGTTTACCTATTCTTACTTATATTTTTGTAGTTAATTTTTATTATAATTTCTTGTTCTGAAATTAGAATTGACTGTTGAATAGTGTAACAATAAATAAATAAATAAATAAATAAAAAATTATGCGGGTGTTATATATAACACCCTGTAAAAAATTAGTACCTACTTTTAATAGATTCTAAATTTAATATATTTCGATAATTTCTCGCCATGTTACTTTATTATGAAACATCTTGTAGAAAAAATCTGGCGATACTTAGCTAAATAAATCAAACTGGAATACCTGTTTTTAGTAAACGGCAAATTGGTAAATTTTTCATAAGCTTCGTTGAAACTCCTGACATTTTTACGATTCGTATAAAAATTTATGATCTAACACAGCGTATGTAGAATCCTGGAAAATTGTATTCTTAAAAAAAAAAAAAAAAAACTGGCTGTGGTTATTTTCTTGTCTGGAATTAAATATATGATAGCGTAAAGGCAATAGTGAATGAACACGCATCAATGAATGAACAATTCAATGAAATTTTTTTAAAAATAAAAAATCAAATCAGTTAATTTTGTAGATAGTTAATATAGGTATATTCGAAAAAGTTACAGAAGGTGTCGTTAATATTATATAATGTTGAAAATCGTCATTAAGTTTCAGTGTTATAACATAGGAAGAATGTATCTTCACATACTCGCATTTGCAATTTAATAAATAAAATCTTAACTTAAGGGACATATATCACGGTGAACCTTATGTTATGGATTTATTTTAAACAAACATCACCTTAGTCCTATTTGTGTTTTACCTAGCGTTTTAAAAAGAAATTAACATAGCTAATAACATAGCCATTAACATAACCATTAGCATAGCAATTAACATAGCTTTATGCAAAACAAATAACATAACAGTTGACATATACATTAACATAGTGATTAACATAATGAGTAAAACAGCAGTTGACATAACAATTAAAATAGCTATTAACTTAAAAATTACCGTAGCATTTAACGTAGGAATTAATATATCGCTTAATATAGCGAATTACATAGCGCTTTACATAATCTAACAACCAGTACTCCTCGTATAATATAAAATCTTAATACTAGCGTTATTCAATTAAAATAATAAAGTAGCGATAAGCGATTAACATAGTAATTAAGAAAACAAATAACATCAATTAACGTAGCGATTAATATAGCATTTATCATAGGAATTAATATAGCTATTATCGAAGCAATTAACATGGGAATTGACATAGCGACTAACATAGCAATTAGTAAAGAATTTAACATAACAGTTATCAAAGCAATTAACATAGAAATTATTAAAGCCATTAACATAGCCAATAATATAGCCATTAACATATTCAATAACATAACGATTAACAAGCAATCGACATAGCAAATAAAATAGCGATTAACATTACGATTAACAAGCAATTGACATAGGAATTAATATAGCCATAAACATAAATTAACATATAAATTGACGTAGCTATTAACATAGCAGTTAACATAACAGTTGACAGCAATTAAAATAGCGGTTAACATAGCGATTAACATAGCGAATTACATAGCGATTTACATAGCCATTTACATAGCGATTTACATAGCGATTAACATAACATAACTAACCGTGATCCTCGTATATTATAAAATTTTAACAGTAGCTTTATTCAATTAAAAAAGTAAATTGCTTTCGTAACTAATATAGTTTAAAACATCGAAATAACTTTTTGAAAAGAATGATCACTTTTATCTAGGAACTTGACTTAAAGTTTCCTGGTAATCTTCTCAGTTTAATTAACTTTTAGTGTTTCTGGCATGCACTTAAAAGGAAAGCTTTTGTAACTTGCTACACATCAAAGCTCATCTAAACCGAGAAATGTAAGATCTTTTTTTTTCTTAATGGAGCAATTTCTAACAATGGAAGAAGCAAGTTATAATAAAAAATACATTCGTATGGATGCACAAAGAAAATAAATGTAAAATAAAATGGATGGATATTATTCTACCTACCCTACAGTCTATTTGCAACCATTTAATATTTCTTTGTCAGTGTTGCTATTGATATTATTGCGCGTCTCAAAGAAAAGAGACATATGAGGTGTTTCGGAGTAAAGTACCATAAAGCTAAATATTATTTGAAAGAATTTAGGAATAATAAACATTAATTTTAAGTAACAATTCAAACTACTTAAACTTGGTGCCAAATATCACAAAGAAATGTCAGTGAATATCAAAATTTTCCATTTATTACATATTAATGAAACACCCTATATTTTTCTAAAAAAATAATTTTTCTTACCGATTGAGACTCTTTTTCCACACAAGCTCTCAATATAATATATTGCTACAAATCAAACTTTGGTTTTCGATTTTTCGTCAAACGTACACATATTTATGTACCTACTATGGGCCCATTGTAAGCCACTCACTCCTTCTTCAGGATAAGGCCATCATTCACGCTTTAACAAAGCATGGGCTTTATGAAAACCGAAATCGTTACAAAAACATGTTTTCGATAATGGTTAATAAAGTTTTCTCAAAGCTGTATAAGAGGAGTCCATTATCGTTAAAAAATCTATAAAGGATTTTCATACACAAGTTGGGTTAATTACAATTTTTGTTTACAGTGGATAATAAACACAACGAATTTTATGAAACAAGAATAAAAATATAAAAAATATCTCACATATTGAGGTTTTGTAGCGACTGCATTCGCGTGTTTAGTGAAAACGTCACAGGTTTAGGAAGGTCATAGCACTGATGAAAGCCAACAAAAAACCATACTGTCAACTATCATTAATGTCCATAAGAATAACACAGCAGTCATTGAAATTATTAAAGCATAATTTTGAAAATGAAAGCAATTTAATTTTAACATATTAGATCATATGGACAGTAAGGTAATAACATTTATATGATTCTCTATTGATTTCATAATTTTTTTTTTTTTTCAAGAAAATATTTGTCTTCGATTTGAAGAATTTTAAACCAGCCTATTTAAATCCTGGTTTTTTAAGTAGATATAATTTAATTAATAAACACATTCAAAGCATATAAACGGTAAGTTGATGACCTTTACATGTAATTCTATCGATTTCATAATTTTTTTTTCAGGAAAAATTCTATTTCAGCGATTTAAGAAATTTAATCTTATTCCTGATTTTGAGAGTGAAAATAATTTAATATTTACAAGATGAATCAATGCCTGGGTCCGTCCAGAAAAGAAGCAGGCAAGACATATATCAAGGGCCACAAGGCAGGACCTCCTAAACCGCAAAATCGACATTCAGTTGAAAAAATGTTTTATTATAGAACAATCCATTTTACGCTTCCGATTCCACTTACAAAGAATCGGGAAGTCTGTGTGGCGCTATGATAGTGAATTAAGAGTAGGGGATGCTCGGACGGCAGTTTTGGTAACACAGTTTGCTCTGTGACCCTGTAGCACACCAGAGTGTACTCAAGGTAAACTCAGTGGAGTGGAGGTAGTCACTAAATTAGGATTAAAACACTTATCTCCTTTATACCTTGTACCCTACGGTACCCTGAAATAAAACGGTCAAGAGCCCGCAATAAAAGAAACACAGGGATAAATAACAAAATATATATTTCCAAAAAGAAAAATAACACTTCGGCCGGGTATTGGATTCTCCGGTATAGAGAGAACAAATTCTTAACACAAGAACACCGGTCAGCTAGATCGGTTGAGTTATACAAGGAAATCAATCAATCAAACAATCAAACGGGAATTTATGACTCCCCCTGTATACAGAAAATAAATTTTTAACCTATTAAAATTGTGCACCAACAGTATAATTAATCACAAAAAAAAAATTTAAATAACGGTTCAAAAATACCAGAAACAATTAAGCTCCACCCTGTATACAGAAAATAATTTTTTTCATAAACTAAAATTAATTTTCAAAAACAAAAAAGTTGAATTTACCAAACGAATCAAAGTTCAGGAAGCAATTATGCTCCACCCTATATACGGAAAATAAATTTAATAAAGAAAAATTTATTTACAAAATAAATAAGTTGAATTAAATAATCGGTTCAAAATCCAGGAGGCAATTATGCTTTGCCCTGTATACGGAAAATAAATTCACTTTACGGAAAACTAATTTTCAAAAACAAATAAGTTGAAATAAAGCGGGCGATTTTCTTAAAAAAAAAGGAAACTAATAAGTAAAATTAAACCATGTCGAAATTTACGACACTTGGGTACACGAGAAATAAAATTTTACGAGGAATAGAATTAATGCAATACGCTGGGCATTCGATCGAAGGCGGCTCGTCTAAAGTATAATTTATAACCACCGTAACGTAACTTAACGCTGTAGAAACTTAACCTAAGATATAAAAATAAAGTCTTATTTATAAATGTCCGTAACGTAAGAGTTGAGCATGCGTGTTGATTTCAGAGATTATCAAATTACTGACAACCTTATGAAATAAACAAGTGTAAACTATGTGTACCTAACCTCTAAATAAAACTTATAAATTATGATTTTGCTGTATAGAAAGAAAATATTAACTACTTTAAAAGCAATAATATAAAAATATAATAAAACAGAATAGTTTACCGAAGATGTTGATTGTTTTTGAGCAATAATGAGAATTTAATATTTCCTAGCAAACTAGTTTTGTGTCTATTTCAGTTCTAGACTTGATGTTTAATTATAGGTATATGTAGTAACACTCATATCTCATAAATAGTTTATCCCCAATAACATAAACACAAATCATTCATGATGTATGTCCATCAAAAAGGAGAAGTTTACAAATGGTATTTGTCTATTCATTTATAAAAAAAATAAAAAGAGAATAATTGACACTTATCACATGCTGAACTCAGAATTATCTCATTGGCTAACCGTAAGGTCTTGTCTTAAGTTAAGTTGTTAAGTTAAAAGTTGGCGAACTTTCTACGGTACGTTAAGTTCTTAAGTTACGTTACGAACTTTATAAATAAGAATATGTAAATTCAATATTTTAACTTCTTACGTTAAGTACTTAAGTTACGTTACGGCGGTTATAAATTAAGCTTAAGAGTTAACACAAAATCTAGTTTGCACGATGATAGCGAATTTTTGAGATTCTTGTCCGGCTTCTACAAAAATATTATTATAGACAAAGGGAAATGCTATACTAATCGAATTAAATTACCGGTTTTGAGCTTACATTAAATTGTAATTAGATGAAACAAAATGGATTCTATGTATTTTGAGGTGATCTTTTCGAAAAAAGGCAAAACAAAATGTAGCAGTTTTTCGAAAGTGCCGAAATTTTGGATTTTGTCAATTTTTCAATTTTGCGCATGCGCATGTGGCAAATAAATCATTATTTTTAAAACGCAGTTTACGACATTTGAAAGCTTAGAAAAAATGCTAATTTTTATGTCTCCTGAGAAATTTTGATCGGATGCACCGTTCTCGCGGTATGGACGATTGAAATTTGTTTAGTATTTTCAGGCGGCGAAGGTCGAAAAATTGAATTTGTTAAATGTTCAAACACTAAATTCTTCATAACTTTGGTAAAAATTAAGATATTTGAAGAAACAAAAATTCGTTTTGAACATAAGGGATGTGACTATTGATTCCCAGAAGGGGGCAAGAGAAATCCCAAAATTGGGCATATGGCGGAAGGGCAAAGTGTACCGCAAGCCTAATTTCATTGTTTGCCTATAACGGCCAAACTATTTAAATTTATTTAATGCCACTTACAGAGCTTACTTTTAAATAAGAAATCTTATTGTGTGTGTGTGAATTTTACCGAAATCGGATTATAATTGGCCAAGATATCAAACAATTTAACAAATTTTTTTCCCTAAAACAAAACTAAATTTTTTTTCGAAAGTTTGAAGTGGCACAAAAATGCCAAAAATGCATCCAATGACTCAAAACTTTTTTTGAATACTCTATTATGTCTAGAATACGATTACATTACGGAAAATTCCGCAAAAATATTTTATTTATTTTTTTGACCACTGTTCATTGAGTGACGACCAAAAAACACGGTTTTTGAGAAAAGTTGCCTAAAATTGACCATTTTCAGTTTTTTGATCTGAAAATTGAGCAAACCCAAATCTCATGTCGTCTGAATGTGTATACAAAGTTTAAAGTGTGTATGTTTCTTCTAAGTTGTAGAATTCTCCCGACAAAAGTCCCATTACACGCGCTCCGCGGGATCCAAAACTCGTGCTTTTCTGTAATTTGATTTTTTTGTGATTTCCAGTTTTAAATTTCTTACATACCTAAATTTATTAGGCCTAAAATTTATTAAATTGTATTTTACTGACTTGTTATAAGACGTTTCTTAAGTTTTGTGCAAAAAATAGAATTACCGCAAAATTAGCCGGACGTCATATCAAGGATAGTCATGGTCTCGGCGTTCGCTATCCGACAAGTTTAAACTTGAAACGGTCATATTATTACAAATTGAATCGCTTGATAGTGTATATCGGCATAGATTTTTAATAACTGTGTTCAGCAAGCTCTGTGTACATGTGGTTTTTCGGATTACTTCAGCAATTTATTAAGTAAGTACGTTCTTAAATTAAGAAAATTCTATCACAGTGCTATAATTTTTTTGTATCTAGGTTGCATGGTTGGACTGTGTTTATTATGTCATCACTTGCAGAGGGTGAACTTACCCCAATTAGACCGACAGGATTGAAAGGTCTGCAGATGGTCAGCAAAGAGAGAGGGGATGATTTTTTCAGTTCTTTAGAACCAGGTTTTATATTGCATGAAAAGTGTCGTAGCTCAACGTTACGAAAAAGAGTTTATTTATAAAACTTGGGATAGGCATAAAAGGGCCGCGATTGACAATGCCAAAAAAAAAGGAGGATGGAGCATCAACCGAGAAGAAAACCAGATGTTAGAGAACAAAAAACAAGCTTATCACCAAGTTGGAACTTACACTCAAGCTTAGGATTAATTTCCTAACATTTTTAAAGTATACCTTTTTGTATATTTTTTTGTGCTCTTTCCGATGGCGCAGTTAGTTTCTTCAAATATATTTTTTGTTAGATGTTTTCGGAAAACCCGGAGAAAATCATATGGGAAAAAATTAAAAAAAAATTACGCCTTCCGGTTTCCTGCGAATTCCCGAAAAATTATGGCAGATTTCGCCGCGGGACTTATTTTATTTGAGAGCCCACAAAAAAATACGCAACTTCTCTTATGGGCACATATGTCTAACATTTATAATTTCGCCACAAATTCATCGCAAATTTCATGTTCATGATTCTGATCAAAGAAACGAAAAAACAACTTTTTGGTAAAAGCACTTCTGGCAGCGAGAAATTCGCCATTAGAACTACCTGTGCAATGAAATTCCTAACTATTTTTGCCTCCTCTTTCGATTGGTGCATTTATTTTTACTATCAGAATGATACTTGCCCAGATAATTAGCATTTTACCATGGAAAATTCCGGAAAACCCGGTTTTTCCTAATTTAAAAAAAATTGAAAAACTGCTACATCATTTTTTTCTTTTTTTCACATCAAAATACACAAGGTCCACTTTGTTTCATCCAATTACAAATTAATGTAAGCTCGAAGGGGCTTTTTTTCGTTATTTAATTGGATTATACGGGAAGGACGGTTTTAAAATTTCTAGGAACAGAGGCAACTCAGGAGATCCACAAATGGCTCAACCAAGAGGTTTTACAACACTAGATCGCGATAATTTAATTAACAAAAATTTGGAAGAAAAAAAAATGATCGCGTGAATTTAATATAAAATTTACTGGGCGGGGTTGCAAAGCTTTCCGAGTCAGAACCTATCCAGGAGATCCGCAAATGGCTCAACCAAGAGAGTTTTGACAACGCTAAATCGCGATAATTTGACTAATAATATTAATAATTAAAAAAAAAAAGTAAATGCTCAACTAGAAGGCGAGACGAGAACGGCAATTTCGCATAGGAGAAAAGAACAAATTATGTTGAAAGGCCTACCTTGGTTAATAATCGGGAGTGCTGGAACTAAACGGTTCACTAACTTGGTAATACTATCACGGTAAAAATCTTCGGCGAAAAAAAAAACTACAATTTTAGCCGCACTCGTACTTATGTCTTTTCAGCTATGACGCTGAACGTCGACCAGTTCGGAGTGGAAGAAGCCACCACCAGTCCTCGAATTATTTACTACTAATAGATACAAAAAATGACCCTCGCACACCTTTGCAAATAATTTTTTATAATTTGTATAAAATTCGGTGTTTTTACGAACATGATTTAACAGTACAAATGAAAATATTTTAAACTACGGGGGGTTCGCTCAGTGGTTTAGGATCTGCAATGACTAGGGAATTAAACATACGGGGGGATCTTTGAAGCGTAGCTTCACGGAAATTAATTAAAATTTATATTTTTAAAATTAATTCAAATTAAAATAAAGTGACTTCGACACATTACTCTATAATAGAACTAATATTTACCCATGTTTTGTTAAAAAATTGTAATACTTACCAGTGTATTGTTAGGGTTCTTAATAATAATATTGTGTCCATGAAAACTCTTTATTTATTACTCTCAACAGCTACAATTATAAAATATATTCGGGTCGATGCTACCGGCTAACTGACATCTGACAAGACCCAGCCTGGTGTGATTTACCACCGTTGCCAAATCTCCCATTACTCTGACCTAACAGAACATACAGTACTAGATAGAGCAAAATATTTTAATCGAGATTATCATAAAATATAATTTTTAATTGAAATGTTAGTTACGAGGTCCTGCATTGTGGCCCTCGATATGTGTTCTCAGAGTTATTATGTTACTAGGAAGTGGGATGTGAAATTTATTGTTGTACCTATGGAAATCAATAGCATGTTTTTCTGCACTTTTGCTATAATAATTTTTAGTGATGTCCCAAATATGTTCAATAGAGGATGATTTACGTTACGTCTTTGGTAGAGTCGCATGCGGTCTTGGCATTCATCCAATTATCTTTTTTTGAAAAACAAAAAATATTTTTTGGTCAAATATAGTTGTATTCTTTTTCTACTATAAATTGGAAATTGTATCTTATAAAATTTCCTGGTTTTGAAAAGGTTTAAATAAAATAGATTTATATTTAACTGTATACCAAAATTAACGAAAATTTTTATTTAAAAAAATACTAAAAATATCAAATAAATATTATACTTGTTTCAGCAAGTCTACCCGAAACTCCAGATTCTTCAAGGCGTTGGATTGTGCACATTGAACATATTGGATAACATCAAGGATTATGCCCGAGGAATATTTATTATTATGTAAGTACTTAATTCGCATCCTTTAGAAAATTAGCTTTCTTGTCTTTATTTAAATAGTTTGTTTATTGAAATTGCTTGAAGACGATAACTAAAATCGATTATACCTACATTGATAATAAGAACACGAAAAAAAGTGTCAAATAATTATTTACTTGAAAAACTACGATTGGCTTAGTTACTACAAAAAATAAATGATTTTACGAAATTACTTAAAACTATTTTTTTTAAACTAGTATTTCTGCCTCAAGTGCAAACGTTTTCTGAAATGGATTTTTTTCAATTAATTTTACTCAAGCATCTGGATCTTAAATTGTTTTAATAACCACAGAAGGAACCACAAATATTTACCATTAACTAACTTTTATTTTATATTATATTATATTATATTATATATATTATAAAACACGCATGCTAAAAAGAAAATGTGATATTGAAAGGGCTTATTTTTTTTATTGTTGCGTAGCCCCACTTGGAAAATTGTCCCGGGGCCCCACCTGGCTCTCGGCGGCTCTGCGCATACTATAGCAACATAGTTTGATAAGAAAGTCCCGATCATCACCGACCCATCAACGAACTAAGTCGATTGATTTGTATAAGTATAAATCATTGCAAGTATTAAAAATACTTATGTAATGCATTTTTTAATTTCAAATTCTAAAAGTAAATGTTTCTGTTAATGGAGTCACTCGTTTTTAATATAATTACTAACTTATCTAGCGCTGCCATATATTAATTAAACAGCATTGAAACATAAAATTTGTGCTTGAATTCGTGAAAATTAAGGTCCCAAATTAGTGAATTGATTTCAAGAGTTTTCAAATCAAATAAACTGTTCAATCGAATTGCTTCTGTTCATAAAGAAAGAGAGTAGTTATTTAATTATCATTGATTCTAATTTGAATTTCTTAATTTATTGTTAAACAAGATATTTTATCATTTTCGTCCAGTTATTTTAATTGTTGAACAGTATTTCGTGTTTCTTTTTTATTATAAATAAAAAAATTAAAGACCAACTGATCCTTTGCAACAACCGACCCCTTCTTCTCTACCTATGTTGCAATCAGGGCTAAAAGGTAATTCCATATTTTTCCTTTTTCTACTCATCAATTATAGATGGACTTTTAAAACTTTTTATACACAGTTGAATCCCCAAAATACTAAATCGAGAAGAGATAAGAAAACAAAAGAGTTTTCCTATATTAAAATAGTATTTGTTTAACTAAATAAAATGTATTCCAAACGACGTTGTAGTACGATAATAAGGATCCTCTTTTATTTCATTAATTATTCTTTGTGATAGCAAAGGCAGTCATTTTGTTAATCCGATATTAAAGGTAGAAGGAAAATAAGTAACACTATCCAATGTGAAAAAACACACTAAACAATTTTTGTAAAAATTCAAAAGATATTACTTCTTATGCTTCATGTATATTGTTGTGAGTTGATATAAAGATTTGATCTATTGAAAGTTCCGGAAAGACATGTGAATGTAATTTTACAGTTCATGAATATTTAAATAATATCAATATTACACAGTGGCGGATCGTAGATATTAGGAGCAGATGTAGAAGATAAAGAAGTGGAAATTATATTATTATTTTAGAAATAGAGATTTGAATTTGCGGTTAGAAGATTGCTGTTTTGAAAATTTCGTATTTTACAAAATTTTAATTATTAACAGTTTTCTAGATAATTGAAACACACTCTCAAGGAAGTATCTTTCCTGGTGCTCGAGCTAGTCTGGGACTGATTCATATCAATAGATATAAATATGTTTAGAGATACGTTTATAGATACGTTTATAGGTACTTTTATAGATACGTTTATAGATGCGTTTATAGAAACGTTTATAGATCCGTTTATAGATACGTTTATAGATACGTTTGAGATACGTTTATAGATCCGTTTATAGATACGTTTATAGATACGTTTGAGATACGTTAAGAGATACTTTAGAGATACTTTAGAGATACTTTAGAGATACTTTATAGATAATTATAGATACTTTATCGATACTTTATAGATACGTTTATAAATATGTTTATTGATACGTTTATAGATACGTTTATGAATATGTTTATAGAAACGTTTATAGAAACGTTTATAGATACGTTTGTAGATACGGTAATACATACTTTTATAGATTCATTTATAGATTCGTTTATAGATACGTTTATGGATACGTTTATGGATACGTTTATGGATACGTTTATGGATACGTTTATGGATACGTTTATGGATACGTTTATGGATACGTTTATGGATACGTTTATGGATACGTTTATAAATACGTTTATAGATATGTTTAGAGACACGTTTATAGATACGTTTCTAGATACGTTTCTAGATACGTTTATAGATACGATTATAAATACGTTTTGTTTGTATTTATATACAACCTTTTACTTTTAACTAAATTTAATAAATAGCTAAACAGCACATTTTGGGACGAAGTCTACAGTTAAGCACTTTGTTACCTTAACATTTAAATCTTTCAAATCTACGGTTTGTTATAACAGTGCGCGACGCACAACTGCTGAAATCTAACAATGTTACTACTATGGAAATGGATTGTTAGAGTACGTACAGTTAGGCAGATAGCTGGGTACGTCGACTGATTACGTCGAAATTAATTTGAGTTTGATTTGGATGCGTTTAGCAGAGCATACACATAAAATTGGAAAAACTAAAAAACTAAACTAATTTACCTAACCTGTGAGTCCTAGAGCCATCTCTGGTTGCTTAGCAAAAAATATACAAGAAATAAAAAAAATTTTTGCTTAACCTAACCTGTGTGGAGCAATCAGTAAAATTTAAATGGCTCCAGGCCGCACAGGTTAGGTAAATAAGTTAGGTTTTTAATTTTTCTGATTTCTGTACATTTTTTGCAAATCAGCCCTCGATGGATTCAGGCCGCAATGATTTGGTAAATTAGATGAATTTCTCTATGAATTTCTCTATGAATTTCTCTATGAATTTCTCTATGAATTTCTCTATGAATTTCTCTATGAATTTCTCTATGAATTTCTCTATGAATTTCTCTATGAATTTCTCTATGAATTTCTCTATGAATTTCTCTATGAATTTCTCTATGAATTTTTCTATGAATTTCTCTATGAATTTCTCTATGAATTTCTCTATGAATTTCTCTATGAATTTCTCTATGAATTTCTCTATGAATTTCTCTATGAATTTCTCTATGAATTTCTCTATGAATTTCTCTATGAATTTCTCTATGAATTTCTCTATGAATTTTTCTATGAATTTCTCTATGAATTTCTCTATGAATTTCTCTATGAATTTCTCTACGAATTTCTCTATGAATTTCTCTATGAATTTCTCTATGAATTTCTCTATGAATTTCTCTATGAATTTCTCTATGAATTTCTCTATGAATTTCTCTATGAATTTCTCTATGAATTTCTCTATGAATTTCTCTATGAATTTCTCTATGAATTTCTCTATGAATTTCTCTATGAATTTCTCTATGAATTTCTCTATGAATTTCTCTATGAATTTCTTTATGAATTTCTCTATGAATTTCTCTATGAATTTCTCTATGAATTTCTCTATGAATTTCTCTATGAATTTCTCTATGAATTTCTCTACGAATTTCTCTATGAATTTCTCTATGAATTTCTCTATGAATTTCTCTATGAATTTCTCTATGAATTTCTCTATGAATTTCTCTATGAATTTCTCTATGAATTTCTCTATGAATTTCTCTATGAATTTCTCTATGAATTTCTCTATGAATTTCTCTATGAATTTCTCTATGAATTTCTCTATGAATTTCTCTATGAATTTCTCTATGAATTTCTCTATGAATTTCTCTATGAATTTCTCTATGAATTTCTCTATGAATTTCTCTATGAATTTCTCTATGAATTTCTCTATGAATTTCTCTATGAATTTCTCTATGAATTTCTCTATGAATTTCTCTATGAATTTCTCTATGAATTTCTCTATGAATTTCTCTATGAATTTCTCTATGAATTTCTCTATAAATTTCTCTATGAATTTCTCTATGAATTTCTCTATGAATTTCTCTATGAATTTCTATATGAATGTACAAAGATTTCTTAATTAAAATGTCAAATATTGTACATAACCTCAACATATGAATAACACATGGATAACAGGTTTTATATTATTTTATATATTATTTTGTTTGGAATGATATATTATGCTTTACTATATTTAAATATGTTAAATAAGAAGGCCTAATATACCATGCAAATCTCCCCAATATTTTTTCAATAAATCATCTAAATTTGAATTAAGTAAATCTCTGTGAATTCAAATTATAAATTAGGCAAAACCCGTATTATTCCATTTTATTAACTGACCTGTTTCAGCGAATTTCGGGAACAGATTCAATAATACAGTCTAGAGATTTGCGAATTTACACTCACCGATATCCAATAAGCTCCGTCATCAAGTTTTTCACTACTAGACAGATATAAAAAAATGTATCGACAGTTTCTCCATAAATTTATATCAGGTACAGTTGAAAAATGCTCCATAAATCACAACGAGGATGGACATTTTCAGCAAGCGGGTGGAGCGATTTAATGACTTTCTGTATGTAGAAACGTTAAATAATTTATTATACTGAGAATTCGGGTAATATTATTCTAAAATCGGGAGAATATTAATAAAAACCTGTAATTTTGTCTCATTTAACATGTTTAGATTCATTATAAATTCATAAACTTTAGAAAACAACGTTATTGTAGCTACTAAATGCACGAAATTTTCTATGAAACTGAGTTTCCTTTAAGGCATGTATGTAGATTTAGGGTTTTAATTGAGTTAACAAGTCAGCTAGAACGTGGAATATTCGTGAACAAGTTATAATCAGTAGCGTAGATAATTGCCAAATATCATTCTGTATAATCCTCAACTACTCCTATCTATCCCAGTATATCTATCAATCAGTATCGGCCACATACTTTGATTCGGCACTCTGAGGCGGCACGCTTGATCTTTAAAAGTAGAAATTTTAGTTGACACTTGACGTTTTCAGGATATGAAAAGTTTTCTTTACATGAACTTGGTTAGTTGTTTTGTTCTGCTGCTTTTCAAATTCGTGTGTATGAGCGAGATGTGAGATACCTTTATAGACAACGGTTAAACAACTTAATTACTTTAAAGAAGAAAATAAATTTGATATTAGGGCAGTCTTCGCTAATGTAAGAAGGACAGAACCGTTTAATTTTTTTATATATATGTGAAATATTACTTATTAGTGAAAAGTTTAATTACTTTTAGTTCAAAATATAACTTTAGTTTGTCAAGGGAAATATATAACACACAAGGTTAGAGTAACAAAATAGAGGTTTTGCTTTATTTTTTAAGAATTACTCTAATCTAAAACTTTTCTAGTATATTGTAGAAATTTATTTTATACGTTATTTAGGTACTGCAAAATCTATAGGATAGTATGTAGTTTTAAATATAAAAATTTATAACGGAGACATATTTAGTGTAGTTTTTTTTTTTACAAATATATACTCAGTGACTTGTTTTTGTGAATCAGTTCAAGTCCGGCAGACTAAAATCATTACTTTTTATTATGAATTTATTTAAAAATAGGAACTATATATTTATATGGTTTTCGTAGTTTTTACACTGGTAATAAAAATATCAAAGTTATGTAAATTGGTCATTTACTACACGCAGAAAATTCATAGACACAATACATATCACCATTTGACATTCTTATTAAATTCACTAATTTAAAATTGACTTTAAACTAAGTGACTACACACAAAATTTTTGAATGCAGCCATAAGGTATAATTTATTTATAGGATGCTATAAAAAAATTAATACTAGTTACATGTAGAGTTAAGTAACAAGAAATTTAAAAACAACACAAACCTTTATATCTAGTGAACTTAATTTAGTACAGTCCTCAACTTTATTAGGCTAACATTAAAGATATCTCGCTAAGAAACTCATTGGTAACAGCCATCATTTTGTTAAAAGGAGATATATACTACTTGGATCTATACTAAATAATTTTTTGTTACTTGGGATTCTTAGATTAATCTTTGCCACATTAAAATTTATACATATAGTCAATCAAATCACAATCTTTGTACCTAAAATTATTTAAAATAGAGTACAAAATATATCACAGCCTGGTTGTTTTCTTCTTTGTAAAAGAGATTTAATCTTAAAACCATCGAGCATAGTTTTATATGAGATCTTATAAGGGTACGAGTATTGTTTATGACATAAAGGTACCGTAAAAATATTTTTTGTACTTTTTCAATATGATCAATATGTGTGGCTTCCAAGGGCCTCCATATTTGTGAAACATACTCAAGATCGGGTCTTACTAAGGCATTATACAGTATGGTTCAAATGAAAGGAATAAATTCATTATAATGGAAGTAGTTCTCGAACAGGTCAATTTTGTTTGCTCAAAGCGCAATTTTTTAAATACAATTTAATTTTCCCCCACTTCCCGTTTTTAAGCAGTGACGTCATTGACATTTTTTTTTAATAGTAACCCCAATTTTTTTTTTTTATTTTGAAGGATCTTGCAATTTCCTACTCGGAAACATAATATTTGAAATATCTGACATAAAAATTTTTTTGAATAAAAGTCATTTAAAGATCAGATACATAAATTTTATTTTATTTTGAAACACAATAAATGAATAAAAGATCTTTTGTAATTAAGTGCTTCATCTAAAAAAATAATAGTAATAATAATAATAAAAAAAAGAATTTAATGACAATTTCACAAATTCTTTTTTATTATTATTATTATTATTATTATATTGTTAGATTAAGCACTTAATTACAAATAATTATCTTCTATTCATTTATTGTGTTCTCAAAATAAAATAAAATTATTATACGCAACATGTAAACTTAATTATTAAGAGAGCTTACTGCAACTTAAAGTTAATTTATGCAAATAGGGGACTTTTAGACCGAAAAAGTAAAATTACTCTATGTGAGGCTTTGGTATTTTCACATTTAAATTTTGCCGATGTAGTATATGGTCCAGCACTGCTAAAATGTGATTTGCGAAGACTCCAATTAGTACAGAACTCTTGTGTGCGTTTGATTTCTGGTTTAAAAAGACGCGACCATATCTCTGAAGCTTTAGCTGAGTTAGGGTGGCTAAATATTGAAAAACGAATCTTGTTACATTGTTTTATATTTTATCATAAATTAATTATCTATAAAGAACCATCGTATCTTTTTAACAAAATACAATTTAGATCAGACGTACACCATATCAATGTACGTTTTCGATCTTGCTTGACGCCGCCTATTCACTCTACTTCCCTCTTCGAATCATCCTTTTCGTATAATATAACCAGGCTATACAACAGGTTTCCGAGACATCTTCTTACTTGCTCATTGAGCACTATAAAAAATAAAATAAAAAACTTGCTATTTACTAATGAACTAACATTCTAGACTTGTGCTTTATTTTCGTTTTCTATTTATTATATTATTATTTCTGCGTCATTAACATGGATTAACTTGAATTTCGCTTGTTTTTATCTAGCTTATATTATTATCATTATTATAATTATTTTTAATTAAGTAGTTTAATTAAATAGGTTGAGTGGAAGAGAGGACTTTCCCTTGCTTGCAAGGATTAGACCTAACTCTGCCTTTTGGCAAATATTGTATTTTGCTTACCTGTATGTTTTTTTTTTCTCTGCCAATAAAAGCTTTTATTATTATTATTATTATTATTATTAAAATTTATGTGTCTGATCTTTAAATGAGTTTTATTCAAAAAAAATTGTTATGCAAGATATTTCAAATATTATGTTTCCAAGTAGGAAATTGCAAGATCTATCAAAATCAAGAAAAAAAAATTGGGGTTACTATTTAAAAAAATTGTCAATGACGTCACTGCCCAAAAATGGGAAGTGGGGGAAAATTGAATTCTATTTAAAAAATTGCGCTTTGAGTAAATAAAATTGACCTGTCCGAGCATTTTTTCGAAAAACCAACTACTTCCATTATAATGAATTTATTCCTTTCATTTGAACCATACTGTATAATCTTATTTTGGTGGTAATCCTAAAATTTTTTTGTATTTCTGATTTAAAATCCCAAAACTTTTATTGCTTTTTTTAGTTATGTGTAAGAAATGGTTATTGAACTTCAAAGTAGACTGAAAGACAACTCCCAAATCCTTTACCTCATATTCACGATTTAATGTGAAATCACAGGTCTTGTGTCTAATATAAAAAATTAAGAGGCTACGGATCCTTACAACTTAAAATATGCATATGTTTGTAAGTGTTAAAAAGACGGATAAAAACTATTGATTTTTATTTACAACTATAATAAGGACCTATTAAAAAGATTAAGAGCAATAGAACATTTCAACAAATTTCTATAGGTACACATATTTTTGATACCTGATAATCAATTAACAATATATTTTTTTGGAGTAGCAACAGGTTTATTAATACACAACTATTATTTTGTTACAAATACTTATATTGTCAACTATTATGTTAATTATAAATATTATAATATAAGTCCTTTAAAAATAATATATATTTTGATTTAATTGTTGAATTTATACGTGAGCAATTTTCCTTGTAGCGTTGTTTACATTTTGCAGAGAAATATTGTATTCTGCTTTTAGCTAATAAATCATGTACATGTAAATGGGTTGAATGTAGACAATGTTAATGTTTTTGCTACTACTGCTGGCTAGGAATGCTGGGCTGGGACACCAACAAAAAAACAAGGAAGCACAAAGCAATAGATCAGTTTATGTTACTTATACACTTACAATTTACAACCACTCAAGTAACTAGCATGTTGGAAATACTTCACGAAAACATATTAAACATAAATCAGTCGAATGCAATGTATTTTCTTCTTATAACATGCCTTTTTAGCAATAATACGTAAAAATAAGGATAAAACATACACTGAAGTGTATTTGGGGTATTTTTGATCTAAATCCACTATCAAAATAACAAATTTTCCATTCTTAATCTGTGAATGTATTACAAAAACTACTTCGATAAAATGTAAACAAAAGTTTGTATTTGTGTACGAAATTTGGGTTTCCTGCGCATGGTAGCGAGTTTTTAACAGGAAGTGTCATAGGCCTGTATCTTTATTACGGATCATTCTCAATGATTTTGAATCTAGGTACTTAACATTGTAGAACCATTTTCATTATCTAATAAAATAATAAAGTTCGTACTTTAACTTTGATATATTCTAGTTATTTATTTTTTTATTAGAATACTGCATCAATCTTTTGGTTATTAACGGAAATAATTTTACAAATAAATGAATATATTTCAAACTAGCAAACCCGGCGAACTCCGTTTCGCCATCAGATGGCTTCGTTTTATGTAACATTTCGTTTGGTGATTAAAAGATGAAGAAAATTTTTTTTTGTTTTATATTTGAAAAGGATTCGTTCCAATGCTGTTTTGAACATATTAATTACAGCATTATTAGCGTGAAAAAATGCTTGCAACTGTTCAATAATTCGTCTCTTCAACTGTTGTGTTCCCTGTATATTGCACCGCACATTCAGCTGATCCACCATCGACGAAATGAAATATATTTGCAGAAATTGATGCGGTTCATCTGGTGTTGGCACCATTGAACCATGCAAATGATATATTTGTCCTTGTATCTGTAATTGCAAACAATCATTTGTTGAAGAATACTGTGTAACTTCTGATCGTGTGATGGTGTAGTGTGTGGTGTATATGTAGTTGTTATGTGTTGCAATTCATTGTGTTGGTGTGAGTGATTGGTTATGTGTGTTGTATCTTTTACCTTGCAAGTCGGCATGAAGCCGCCTTTTCGAATGATATTAGCTCCAAAGGAAGTCATGCGAAAGCAGTTATTGTATTCAAGGATGTGTTGAAGAAAATGGCTGGAATCGGGATCACTTCCATCGAACAATGGTTTCAGTGGCTCTGGTGGTGTAAGTAATGGATCCAGTTTGACTTTTCCACTTGCGCAGCACAATCCAGCCGTTTCTCTTTTGAACTTTAACGCATTGCATTATCGGCATATAGTCGTCATTGGTCCAATATCTAAATTTTCATCATCACTGTAGTTCGCAGTGGGATCATATTGGAATGCCAAGCGATTGTATGATGCCAATGATCTTCGTGTGCTCACGCGTTGTCTCAATCGGGCATTTTCTCTTATTATATTTTGTCTTTCTTCGCTTAAGTTCTGTGAATACACTTGTTGCTGGCTTGCATGTCTTGTGCGGCGGCCAATGTTCGCACGTCGTCTTCTAGGCATTTTGGACTATGGACAGAGTGGTGAATTTAAACTCAAATGCACGATCCACATAATTTACACAGTTCAACTTACCACCTTAAAGATAAATGCCTGCTGTTGAAATTGAATAAAAATTTGCACAATACATGTGATTGATTTGATGGTTTCCAATTGAAATGTTAGGAAACGAATAACTTATTTTTTTTACTTTTTTTTTACAATTTCACAGTAAACACAATACCGGTTTGTCACATGAAATTAACTGAGCAGAGAACAATGAGTAGCTGTCGAACAATGTATTACGCGCCGGCGCCATTTACTTAAAATATTGGTTTGTAGTACATGCTATGTATCAGAGATGGCGCTGTATGTGAAAAAAGATTTTCCCGCTTTTCTGTTGAAATTTTTCCTGAATTTTCTTTGCTATAAACCTCACGGAGCCCAAGACCTTTCCAACGAATGCAAAACCGTGGAAATCGGTTCGTGCGTTCTGGAGTTATAGCGTCAGGAAGGAAAACCCGACTTATTTTTATATAGTAGATAATTTATTTGACTATTTTTTCTGTTAATTTTCTGAATATAAATTATCACACAACTTAACTTTGAAATATGGTCAACTAATTTGAAAACTAAAATCATTTACTTATTAAACGAATTGAAATATCCAGTGTCAGTGTTTTTATATGCATTACGTTCACGCCAATTTTCGATAAACCCAGCCTTAGTTTTCATAAACTGATATACTATTCACAAGACTAAACCATACTGTTCACAAACTGCGCCATATGTTATGGTCCAGTCTTGTAGATAGTGTGTAATAGAAATGCAAATAGGTACCTATTTAAAGCACTGGCTATTGAAAGAACTAAAAAATAATAGTTTCAGTTTGAGCTTTACAAGTTACTGATATCTGGGTCACACTACCCACAAGACTAAATCATACCGTTCTCAAACGGCGCCATACTGTCTATTAGACTAAACCATACTATTTTGTAGATAGTATGTTATAAAAATTTATATTGGTTTTTATTTAAAACGCTATTAATGCTCTGGCTAGTATTTGAACTAAAAACTTAGTTTCAGTTTAGGCTAGACGAGATACCGATATCTGCTGAAGTGGTAGCGTAGCGATATATTTGACTATAACGTTTCAAATATTTGCTTAGCGCAATAAGTTCAGCTTACATTTTGCTTTTAAACGATAATTGAACATTAAGAGAAATGTTTTTGTGATATTTAACCCCAGTGAACATTGACGTCCTTTTTCAAGATAGAGCGAAATAAAATTATTTTTAAACATATTTAATATTGTAACACAATGTTACGTGAAATTAATTTCAAATTTATTTTTAACAACCCCCTCGTAAATGACAAAATTTAGTCGAATCCCGCTCGCTCTGGATTGTAAAGTACGATTTGCGCTAGTGCCTAGCGTTTCTTTCGGCATTCACGCTCAGATAAAACCGACTAGTGTGGATTTAACCGGCCTTTTAGTTTATCGAGTTTAAAACTTCAATGTGGTAATGTTGTGTCGACAAATGTACTAGTTTTCAGCTAGTATGAGTATATTTTGATAATTATCGTGTATCTTTCATATCTTCTTATGTGTTACCGTTGGGATAATTGTCAGGTAATGTTTCTTTCAACTTATATTTTTACACTTTGCTGGATTTAGTTGGAAAGCCGAAAGGATCGGCCATTTGCTTTTTTTTATTATCATCATGCAGACGGTTATTATTATTGTTTTTTTTATTGTATATAGATTATAGCTACCCTACCTAATATTATTTTTAAGCTTCCCTTGATATATACTTGAGGAGGCAACTAAATAATTAAATTACAAGTCAGTCTGTAAATACAGTTTAAACGGAAATCCATGGCTCTTAACTAATTTTGTCCTTATAAATAGTTTTTATTTTGTTCAGATGATGTAAAACTTATTGTTATAACTTATTTTGGACTTATAAATATTTTATATTCTACTCAGATGATGTAACTTTAATATTTGTCCAGCTATTTTATATTCTGTTCAGATGGTGTTTATGTCCGTTAGATTTCCAAACTGCATGTAGATGTACTATTCCTGTTACTGAGTTTTTTTTTTATTTCTAAACCTGTAGTGGCTCCAAGTCCAAGTTCCGAGTTCCAAATAGCGTAGTGCAATTGTGCAAAGTTGTGAACGGTCCACCGTTTTACGCCCGTATGCACCGTACATGTTTAATCCAGATTAAGGGTTTAATCGCGATTAATACCATTTTTATCTATGCACCGTAATAAAAATCATTCTTAATCCGAGTTTATTCTAATCCGTCAATATCGGAGGATTAAATTATTTAAACGAGATTTTCTAACGTCAAAAAGATGTCAACGGTTTGTCAGTGTATTTGGAACTTCCTATTTGTGTCTCTTTTATTTATTTTATTTGAATTTCATTAAAAAACGGAAATAGAATACCAACTTTTCCTGGAAGGTGACAAATATTTTAGCCAACATTACGAAAGGAATGAATATTTTTATACCATGGCCAATTTTGTAATTTTTAAGAAGTTTTTTATATTCTAACGTTACAACATAATTTTGTAGTTAGATGGCAAATCCAGGTATGTTGAAAAGGGAAAAAATAAGTAAGCAATACATAGCAATATATATTATTTATGTAATATTGTTCACTTTTAAATACTGAAAATATGTCATATCTAGTTTTGAACATGCACAGTATAGGGACAGTATTCACAGGTTTTGCATAGAAAAGCTTGAAATACAGCTATTTGTATGTATTAGGTTACTTGCCAAAAATGTTATTGGTTTTGCCATCTAATCATAGAATTATTTTTTAAATTCAGTTGACATTCTTTTTTTACCCTGCGTAAAATTTGATATACGGTGTGTTTACGGTTTTGGTACATTCGAAAAAATGAGGCCTCTAT